CAAGTGCCCTATAGCAAAAATCTCTCCAAATAAATAGAAAGGACCATGGTACAACCAGGCCCCATTGTGAGGTGCTTCTCTTTCTCATACATGCCCTTGTCATTAAAAACAAAAGCAAAAACAAAGTAAACTACTTCCTTCCGTCCAAGTGTTTTTATGAGTTTATATTGCTAAATCTTTTTCTAACACCTTGAGATCAGTATTATTGCAGACTGTACTATTGGTCACTGCTCCAGTTCCTTAGATGAAAGGATTATGTTTACGCAGTCGTATGCATTTTGAGAACATCTGTTCAAACCCAGTTCAAAGGTTTTGTCATGATTTATTTTGTGACAAATGGACATAAAGCAAATATAAGCAGAAACCACAAATATAATTAAAAAAAATTTTAATTACGAGAGCATACATGCACTCACTAGAGAGAGACAGAAAGAGAACATGGTTACGCTGCAATCCCTCCTCCATTTATCCATCCTGTTGCCATTTCAGCATGTACGCACACATGCCTGGCATGTTTTCTTAAGCCACCAGAGCCAGGATTTGAACAACAATGGCCTTATAGGATACAGGTACTTTAACTACTAGGCTACAGGGCTCGTCCTAATTAAGATTTGGCTCAGCCTCTTGTTCTTCCCACTTTAAATGTGAATGAGCATATGATACAGGGACTAGTGTTTTCCCTTTAAATGAGCAGACAACTGGAGCAGAACTAAACATACATAGGGTTGCAACAGCCAACTCAGCACCAACGCATGCTAAGGGGAGTGAAAAGTTCTTGCTTTTACCCTTTGATAAGTTGGATGTTTTTTTATGCAGCAAAATACTGATTAACTTCTAATTACAATGTCTTTCCTAACATTTGATTTGTGCCTAAAGCTTTAATTATAGCTCTTAACTTCAATTATTCAATATAAAATTTTTATTTCTACTGATTTCTTCTTTGAATGGTGAGTTATTTAAAAACATACCAGTAGGCTATCTCTGTGGCTTGATGGTTAAGACAGATGGATCCCATACGACTGCCTACACAATTCAGGTCCCCAGCCTGGGGGCTTGAGAACATGCCAGGAGCACATGCATGCCCAAAATCTGGAAAGGAGGGAGAAGGATAGTGGCAGGACTATTCTCTATGGGAGGAGCGCTCTCTCCCTCTGGCAAGCACACATACTCTCTAGCAACAATGAAAAAATCATTCTTTTAAAGATTTTGCTGTAGGGCATGTGCACCTGTGGGTGACAGGGTGGGGATGTGGGGTGAGCAATCACCTCCACAGGGGATGGCCAGGATGCAGGCCCTTCTCCTCCACTCTCCTCTCAGGATTTTGGGCATGCACACACACAAACCTAGCATGCTTCTCAAGACACTGGGCCCAGGACTCAAACTGAGGAGTAAGCAAGCCATGGTGGATCCCGTGCCTTAACCAGACCACCAGCTGAGCCCAAATCAGTTCTAAGCACAAGGGCATTTATTATTTTTTCTCTTTCATTTTTAATCTTAATACCACTAATAATATGGTTTATGTAATATCAAAATTCTCCTAGCTTGATGAGAGGAATGAGCAGGAACACTGTCACATTTGTGAAGGACCCTGAAGCTTTGGCTTTCTCAAAATGCTCTCATAACAAACAGTTGCTATCTTTCTTTGGCCTTCTAGAAAGTCAACAGGAAAATACCGAAGTGTCCTGAATAAGCTCTGACCATTGACTTTTCCTCTTACGGTCTACTTTCATTTTGAATGAACCACTTCCGCCTCTTCATAGTCACTGATTGTGCGTTGTCTTCAGGATACTACTAGTAAAACCACATGTCACCCATCTCTCTTGTTACAATTCATTGAAGAAATCCTTCAGAATCTTGATTCTACTTGTTTAAAATTTCCATTGAAAGGTCTGCCTTTGTCTGTAATTGAAAGGGGCACAACAGTTCTGGCACCCCTTGAGCAGAAAATTTCCTCAACTCTGCCATTGTAGGTTCACTAACTGTAAATCTGCATCACTCTGGTGCAGGATATTGATAGTGTGGATGTAAGGTGTACATGAGAACACACTGAACTTTCCACCCAATTTTATTGTGAATCAAACTTCTAAAACATAAAGTATACTTAAAAAAAAAAAAAAAAAAAAGATAACTGGGCCAGGAGGTGGTGGTTAACATGCTACACAGCTGACTCTGTAGTTCAAGTTCTGGACCCAGTGGGTTGAAAACATGCTGGGCATGTGTGTGTATGCAGGACAAAAATCCTAAAAGGAGAAGGGAGAAGGGATTGTGGCATGGCTATCCCTCTTTTTCTTTTGGAGAGGTTTTCGCTATAGGGCGCGTGTGCTCGCCAGACAGACAGAGAGACATAGAGACAGAAAGCGAGAAATCACCCCCCAGAGGGGATGGTCACGCCGCAATCCCTTCTCCTCCATTCTCCTCTCAGGATCTTGGGCACGCACGCACACGCGCCTGGCTTGAGTTTTAAGCCACCGGGTCTGGGGCGCAAACCGCGGTCAACTACGTGGGAGTCCAGCAACATAGCCATTATGCTAACTGCTGGTTCCCATGGCTATCCCTCTTGAGAGTGGTTTCTCACTTTCTCTTTTCTCTTTGTCTCTCTCCAGACAGAGCATGCAACCTATGGCAAAAATCTTTAAAAAAAAAAAAAAAGGTAATAGGTTAGTAGAATATATTCACAAATCATGTATCTGATAAAGGACTTAAATTTATAATGTATAAAGAATTCTTACAACTTAATAAGACAATTAACCCAATTTGAAAATGAGAAAGGAATTTGAAATAGGCATTTATTCAAAGGAGACACACGTATAGGCAATAAGCACATGAAAAGTTGTTTGGTATCACTAACCATCAGTAGAATGAAAATCAAAATCAAGGTGAGTTACCACCTCATATTCACTAGAATTTCTATATGTACTAACAAAGTGTCGGTGAGGATGTAAAATTGTACATATTTTTGGAAAACAGTCTGGTGTTAAGCATAAAGTTATACTTTGAGCCAGCAATCCATTCTTATGTAACAAGGAGAAACTAATATCTACATATAACTTGTACACAGATGTTCATTCCACCCTTTAAAAAACTGTACTGGTTGCACATGTGAGAGACAGAGAGAGAAAGAGAGAGATATAGAACCCCCAACCTAATGCCTTGATCTACTCCCAGCCTGGATCATGGCTGGTGTACTCAAGGATGTCTCTGGATGCAAATAGGCAACCTTCTCACATGGGTGCCTCAGAGAGCATCATGCTCTACCACTAAGCCACTGTCTGGCCCCTACTGTAGCATTTAAACACCCCCCCCCAGTTTGTAATAATTGGTGAATGAATAAATGTGGTACATCCATACTATGGAGGATTTGTCAATGAAAAGAGATAAAGCACTGATATGTTACAGAGATAGTAACTGAAAGGAGCCATCCACAAAAGACTACATATTATGAGTCCATTTTATACAAAATGTCCCAAGTACGAAAATTCATAGAGGCAGAAAACAGATTATGGTTGCCTGAGGTGGACTTGTAGCAGGTAGTTAGGAAGAAATGTGGAATCACTGTTAATCGGTGCCGAGTTTCTTTTTGGGACAATGGAAATCTTCTAAAATGGATAGTGGTAATGGTTGTGAAACTCGATATATGAAAAATCCTTGAACTGTATACTTGAGTGAACTGTATTATATGTGAATTATACAGTAATAAAACTTATACTACATAAATGGAATGCTATCCTATGTCCATAAATGACCTAATATTGCAAATGCTATTACTACTCAAAGTATTCTATAGATTCAGTGCAATGGCAATCAAATTTCCAAGGCCATATTTTGCAGAAATAGAAAAATCTATATTAAAATTCATATGGAATGTCATGGGACCCTGAACAGCCAAACATTCTTGAAAAAGAATAAAGCTGGAGGCCATTCGCTTTTGGATTTCAAAACATATTACAAAGTTACAGTACTCAAAATATTTATGGGGTTACCATGAAGATACACAGGACCACAGAAAAAGCCTAGAAATAAGCCCTCACATGTCAAATCATTTAGGAATTTCAATCATTTATTTGAATTTACTTTTTTAAGTTATGTGAAAGAAGAGGCCTAATACCTTCCCCCTTTGCATGTGGATATCCAGTTAATCTAGCAACATCTGTTGAAGCACCTTTAAATGTCAGATTAATTTACTGTTTTCTTCTAGTTTGTATTGTTATATTAAATATGGTCAGACATAATAACTGTGTTATTTAGTTGATATGCATTCAAGTTTCCTCACATTTTTATTTGTTTTGTTCTGCAGTTCTTTCTGTATCTCTGGCATTTGTAATCACCTTGACTCTACCTTTGGGACTTCCTTAAATGTCTCTACTGATGCTAATTTTTTGTATTCACCTTCTTATTTGAAGGATATTTTTACAAGATATACACTTATAAATTGGCAGTTAAGTTTCCTTGGCACATTAAACCTATCATTTACTGTCTATTGGTTTCATCTGTTACTGCTGGAAAATCAGCTATTAGTCATCTAGTCTAGTAACTTGTCTCTTTTTCTTTTTTCAAAAGAATTAGTTTATTTATTATAATTTGACAGAGAAAGAACGGGAAAGTGAGAACACAAGCCTCCAGGTCCAGGACTTGAATTGCAGCTAGCCATGTGGGAGTCCAGCACCTTAATCGCCATGCCACCTGCTGGCCCCAGTTAACTTCTCTTTCTTAAAAGTTATCTTTTTTCTGTGGCTGCTCAAATGTGGTACTATTCCTCAGTTCTGTAAAGGTTCTAGTTATTACCCTCTTAAAATTAACTCTGGGCTGGGCCAGCAGGTGGTGTGGAGGTTAAGGCACTGAATCTCACATGGATGACTTGGGCTAACTGCATGGTTAAGAGTCCCAGACTCAGCAGTTTGAAAAACACACCAGGTGCACGTGCAAGCATGTCCAAAAAAAATCCTGATGAAATGGGAGACTGCAGTGTGGCCATCTCCCCTGGGGAGTGATTTCTCACCTACCTTGCCCCACCTCCCCACCCCTGGCTCTCTTTGGTCGGCACATGCGCTCTGACACAAAACCTGAAAGAAAAAAAAAAGATTCTGCATTGGTTGCATAGCACAACAGCAATGTGCTTCTCAACAGAGGCTGTACCTTGACTATAACTTCATGAGAGACCTTGAAACAGAATCTTCTAGCTAATCCTGTTCCTGAATTCCTGACCTGCAGAAACCGTGTAAGATATTAAATGATCTTTGTCTTAAGTCAGAAATTTCTGGGTTATTTGTTACATGACAACAAATAACCAATGCAAGTGCCTACCAAAAAATAAAAGAAAAAGAAATAAAAAAGAGAGAGAGAAAGAGGGAGAGACCAGAACCCGCATGGCCACCACCATTCAAATCCCTGGCCTAGTCAACCTGACATATGAAAGGGTACACAACAGTAACCTGCATCCAACAGGCTGGGTAGAGGACGGGGACCATGGTGTGACCAGACCAAGTAGGGTGCTCATCTCTATCTGTCCTCTTATGTGTGTGCACACGTACTTTATCGCGAATAAGGAAAAAAAAAAAAAAAAAACCAGTGGGCTGGACCCATTGCCTGGTGGTTAACAGAGCTGGATTTCACATGATTTAAATCTCAGCTCCAGCAGCTTGAAAAACATGCCAAGTGCATGTGCATACTTGAGTGAAATCTTGAAAAGGACTAAATAATGGAGAAGCATGATCATGCCCTACTGGAGGTGCTTTCTCCCTTATCCCTCCCTTCCTCTCTCTCTGGAGAGCATATACACTTTAAGCAAATAAAAAAGGAAAATAATAATAAACTCTGATCTAATTCTTTCTCCTCTCCTTCCAGAATTTACCTTATCATTCTATAGCTTTTACCAAAAATAAAAGCTTTGTAATAGCTCTGCATGTAAAATTATACAACATGGGGAAAAAAAGTGTGGGGGGAACCAGCAGGTGGTGTGGTGGTTAAGGCGCTGGGCACTCCCACATGGCCAACCACAGTTCGAATACCAGACCTGGTGGCTTGCTTTCTCACTTTTCCTCTCTCTCTGTGTATCTCTCTCTGTCAAATTAAAATAAATAAATGGATAAACAAAATTAAATAATTATTTTTTTAAAAAATTATACAACATGATTTGAAACTTACCAAACAACAGAAAAACTATGTGGAAAATCATTCTGTCTCTTTTCCTATTTTCTATCCTTTCGCTTCACTTTGCCAATTTCTGAATAATTTCCTTCGAACGGTCTTCTGATTCACAATTCTCTAATTGTGTCTAATCTGCTGTTAATCCTGTCACCTGAGTCTTAATTTAATCCCAATTGTTTTTATTTCCAGAAGTCCTGCAGTTACTCTTTAGAATTTTTTTGTCTTTGCACATATTTTTATTTCCTTAAACATAGTTATTCCACGTTCTTCTTAATATTCCACTATCAGGCCAGCCAGTTGGCATGGTGGTTAAAGCAGTTAGATCTCACGTGGTAGAATGCTTAGTTCAAGCCCTAGACCTGGTGCTTCAAAAACACAACGGGCACATGTACATGTGTGCTTTAAGTCCTCAGAGGAGAGTGGAAAAGGGACTGCAGCAAGGTCATTCCTCTGGGGTGCTTACTCACTTTGACTTTCTCTCTTCCCGTCTCTCTCCAGTGAGTGTGTGTACCCTCCGGCAAATTAAAAATTAATTCCACTCTTTAATGGTTCTGCTTTATGTTACTTAGTCTCACATATGGGACCTCACTTTCCTCTTTATTAACATTGTGAGCTGTTTACTTTCTTTATGAAATTAATTTGGGTAAAAACCTTGGGAAGTCTAAGATAATGAGTATTTTCACACACACACACACACACACACACACACACACACACACAAATCGACATTTCCTTATGCTAATAACCTGGGAAGCTAACATGTCACAATCACTCTGAATTTACAACTAGTGGTTACTTCCATTCACCCAGGTAGTGTGAATTTGGGCTATATGATTACAATTTCTAACTTTCTCTCCCTATTCTGCTCACCACAACTAGGAAAATATTCTTTGTAGTTCCTCAGAGGACAAGGTGGGAAAGCAAGTTAAGATCTCTTTCACTTAGACAGTATTCTTTTTGGGTACCAATTTAACAGGAAAAGGATTCCTATTAGAATCTCCATCTTGGGAATCAGCAGTGAGCGTAATGGCTATGAAGCTGGACTCACACGTAGTCGACCGCAGTTCACGTCCCGGACCTGGTGGCTTAAAACTTACACTGGGCACGTGTGCGTGCGTGCCCAAGATCCCAAGAGGAGAATGGAGGAGAAGAGATTGCGGCGTGACCATCCCCCCTGGGGGGTCATTTCTTGCTTTCTGTCTCTATGTCTCTGTCTGGCAAGCGCACGCGCCCTATAGCGAAAACCTCTCAAAAAGAAAAAAAGAATCTCCATCTTCGGCCGACTTGTGTCTTTTACCTGTTTGGGGAAGCTTCTACAAAGCTTAACTCTTCAAACTTCCCAAATTCCATAATGATCTTCAGGGTAAAAACATTTCCAGTACTCTACTTCTCTATAGATTTATCCTGATAATAATTTGTAGATCTTCAAGGATTTTTTAAAGTAGATGCTTTCTCATCTACCATTTAGCTGTCTTCAGCAATGACGTGGCCATTGAAATAGCCTATATATACACTCCGGTCTAGTTCAACATAGTTCTGGATCCACCAAAATTCCTACTGTAGAGGTCAAAAATAACCACCAAACTGCCCTATCAATTTAGCATACTTTTCATTCCAATCTAATTCAACTTGTCTGAGTTTGAATACAACTGATTATTTTCTCCTTATGAGCCACGTTTTGGCTTTAATATCACACTTTCCTGTACAATTCTTATATGATTATTTCTCAGGGTTCAAATATGGGTCATCTCATTTTCATATTCCCTCTGCCACCAGTTTACATAACATCCACCTCCTATTTGTATAGCCTCTTAATTGGATTTCTTCTACCCACTCTTGTTCCCATTCAATCCATTCTCTCCCGCAGCAACCAGAGAGGTTGTTTAAAAATAAAAATTAGGGGCCAGCCAGTGATATGGTGGTAAAGGTAGGGGATCCCATAAGCCAACTATGTGGTTCGAGTCCCAGATCCAGCACTTTGAAAAAATGCTGGGAATGTGTGCATATATGTCCAAAATCCTAAAAGGAGAAACGAAGAAGGAATTATATAGTGTGACTTTCTCCCTCCTTCCCTGGAGGGGTGGGGTATGCACGTTTGCTCTCTCTTTCTCTCTCTCTCTCCCCAAGAGCACACATGTCCTCTAGAAAGATCTTTTATTTTTTTTTTTTCTTAATCTATTGTTGTCTATACTTTAGTTAGAGAAAATCACCTACATATGGCTTATCTTTTTCAAGTTGGCTTGGAAGTTTGTTATTTGGAATTTTGAAAACATTTTCCTACAAAAGCAATATTATACAGCATCTATATATATATGTGTGTGTATATATATATATATTATAGGTTCCTTAGGTTAGCGCATATGTTTCATCAATAATTCACTTATCCAGTTTTACAAATATGAATTGAGTATGACTTTGTGCCAGAAACGGTTCTAATGCTGGTGATACAAGAATAAACAAAATACACAAAGTAAAATATATATAATGGCAGATGTTGACATGTGTTATGATAAAAAAAAAAAAAAAAAGGCAGGGCTGGGACTAGCAGCGGGAGCAAGGGCTTTATCCACCAGGTC